TTTGCTAGTAAGGAAAATACTGCATTTCAAAATGTCTTGTCACACTACACAACCTCATTAGGTCAAGTTTGCGCAGAACGGTGAGGGAAAAACCATTACAAGTAAGACAGTATTCTGAGAAGGCTGAAATCTTCAGAAATACATTTCTACAGCACCACCCTACCTGCCCCCCAGTCCTACAGAGTGACGCAAGGAGAAGTAAGAGAAACAGAATCCATTCAGTCCTATACATTAATTTTTCTGTTATGTAAACTATTTCTAAATCAGTTTTAAAATAGTCTGAGGATTAGGAGGGCTCTACGGTAGCCTACAGTCAGTCTGGTTGTGTGCCATGTGCCTCTGAGTCTGTGCCCCTGCTCTTGCTGGGCAGTGTGTTTCGATGTGGGAGGCCAAAGTTCTTCCAACAGTTAATAGCCCTGTAAATTATATTGGTACAATAAAAATAAATATGGTAGTTCTTGTGGTGAGAGTTTCCTTCCAGTGTTGCTTTTAGCATCCTGGCATACTTCCCAAAGAATACTGTATTAATGATTTGTGCGAATATTAATGTTACCCAAAAGGAATCATTTACCTCGTATGCCTTTTAGGAGAAAGAGCACTGCGAAACTTAACTTTATCAGGCCTGAAAGCAAATCTTAACTATTAGAGAGGAAAAATAGCTACAGATGTTCTTCTACAGGCTTATTCATAAGTCTGTCTTGAGAAAGGCAAGTAAAGAAGCCTCTGGTGCTTCCACGGAGTCTGAGATCTTTGGTGAAATTTGGAATTATAACTCAAGCTGAGGCAAGACACTTTCTAACAAAACTTCTGAGTAACAATTTCTGTTCTGCTCTGAGTGAAACTGGTGTGTTTTGGAGTCTTTGCACTGAAGAAGGCCTGTCCCACTGTGAACAATGTGGTGCTGTGGAGATGAAAGAGAAACATTTCCCTTGGGATCAGAAAACTGGGCTTTGAGGTTTAGTGTCTCTCTGTTCCCATTGGAATGCCTTAGCTACTGGGCCAGGGGCTGTTTTGAGCTGCTTGTGTGCTGACTCCTAGTGGCTTGTTTGTGTGTGTATATGGGGGTTTGGTTTCGACTCCTTTTCTTTTTTGCTGTTCTTGCTCTGTCTTGCTTCAGGAATTCTGTGGTGATCTTAAGAACTCTTTCCTGATAAAAACGTGTGTGTGTGGTTGTTGTGGTTTTATTTTTGTTTTCCATTAGCTAACAGACATCTGCAAAAAGATTTGGATTCAATAAATGGTCATTTCCTGGTGAAAAGATTATGTGTTTATTAAAAAAACCCCAACTAATAATAATTTAATGTCTTCTGGGCACTTTTCTCCCTGTATAAAGCCCAATTAGAAACATCAGTGAGGAAGTTATGACTTATGGTGCAGCACTGCAGGGGCTGTAAGTGATGTCTTTGCTTTTATTAAATGAGGAATATGAAATGCCTTTTACTTTGCCATGGCTGTGCTTTATGCAAAGTGATTCCTAAATGCATTTTGAAATTAAACTTACCAAGTGTCTCTTGGCGAATACAGCCTTTTGAAAAGTATAACTGTGCATGTTTTATATGGTAGCTTCCTTTGTCAAATACCAGAACATTGCTCTCGTACTGGCTGCTTCTGTAGAAGAGTTGGTTAGGTAAGGGAGCCAAGTAGAGGCTTGCTGGAAAGGACACCTCAGCTCCCCCAGGTTGAGATGACCAGCGTTACATCTCATGGTTGTAACTGTGCAAGCTCCTCTTTGTCCAGGGCAGTCGTGGTCCTGAGACAGGAATATCTTGCACTTGATATTTCCTGCAGACTAACAAAAATGCTTGTGAGATTTAAGCATCTCAGACCATCAGGTTTCTTCCTGTCTTCCTTCTCACACGTTTGTCATTAGATTAGTACAATACACTTTTGCATATATTTTCAAAATTCATCTCAAGGTGATGTGGAGAGAGATATATTTTTATGGCTGTATTTAAGAAATATTTTTTTTTAAAGAGATAAAGCGAGAGACCCATCAACCCAAGTCCCTGAACAAGATTTTCCCCTGAGGCAAATACTTGCAGGCCCAGGAAGCCTTTACACTTCTGTCTGTTACTGTCGGGTGCCCACGTAGGTCCTGATGATTCTGATTTTTTTACTCAAAAGAGAACTGAATTAGTGCTGCTGACATCAGAGTCAACATCTGAATATTATCAGCCTGCGAGACTCAGCCGGGTCTGGGGTTTGTGCACTTTAAGTTCTGATGTGTGAGCGGTGGTGCCTGCAGCTGCAGGTGCTGGTGTTCGTGCCCACCCCAGCTCTGTGCAGGAAGGATGACATTTTTGCTGGCGAGGATGCCTCGTTGCAGAAGGATGACATCTTACTCTGTTAGAGCTTGTGTAACAGACCTCTAGGAAACACTGCTTTAGAGTGAAGGTGTGTGTGAGAGCCATAACCCAGTGCTGACTCCAAAGGTGCTAGGTCCCCCAAAAGCGAGGCCAGCTGCGGTCACGGCAGTGCTGGTGGTGAGGCTGGGGCTGGTGGGTGATGCGTTTTTCACTCCTAGTGTGAGAGAAAGAGGCTTTCTACCATAAAGAGGTAGTTTTGTCCCTGCTTCCTTCCTCTGCCGCTGACAGCATGCCTGTCTCTTCAGAGCTCCCCTCCACCCTGCGGGCTCTCAGCCGCAGCACGTTCCCTTGGCTCAGCAGCTCTGCTCTGCCTCTGGCTCCTTGTCCTTGCAGCCGCTGCCTTCAGATCTGCCTGCCTGGGAAATCTTGGGCTGGCTTTGCCTAAGCATTGAGACAAATGATTGATTGGTGTCACCTCAGGCTAATTGCACATATAATCTATTCTTTCCTCTTCTTCAGGACGCCTATTTCCACAGAATAAATCCAACCACAAAAAAAAAACCCACAAAAAAGCAAGCAAAGAAACAGACTTTGCTGTTTAAATGGAAAGAAATAAAGGGCAAGAAGAAGGAGAGGCCAGAGCAATTTTTTATACTTGTTCTTTACAGATGTACTTACTGGTGCTAGGAGGAGCATTTGCGTTTCCCTGTGAGCAGGAGACCTTCCCATCACTGGGAGACTAAACTACTGAGAATCACTCAGTAGCACTTTGTTCCAAAAGGAGGCTGTTGCAGCATCAGTGTGTGATACAGACTGCTTTTGCCTACTAGGAAAAATTAATCCCTTGCTTTTTGACCCCTCATATGGTTCGCTGCCATTGCTGTTTGCCAGAAATCTCCCTCTGGTTCTTTTGCTCAGAGTGACTGTCACTGCCATCATTTAATTAATTATATGCTAATTGAATCAGATAGACATTACTGGTAACCTAGTAGTTTAGCCAATTTTCTATACCCGTTTTGGCATGTATACATCCATATGAGTGAACTTGGTTTAATCTGGAGTGAAACTGTGCTGATCAATTCTGGAAATAAATAAATGATTGTTAAGGCTAAATGCCTGTTGTCTGCTTAGGAGTTTCTTGTTTGATCTAGTTGTCCCAAAATTAGTCTTCAGTATAATACGTGGTGGATTTGACAAGCCACTGTATGTAGTTATTTATTTCTGAAACACTGAACAAGTAATAGCAGTTACGAAGTCCCTGTTCAGTGCTGCGGAGCACTGGCCATGCTTGAATGTGATGGTTTTCCTGGATTAAATCCTTGCAAGTGTTTGATTGTTGAATTCTTAGTGACAGGTGAAACACAATACTATGAATGTCAAGGTAGAAAATCAGTGCAGTTGTGGCTATCAGCATACACATTCAGTATGTAAATATTGTGTTAATATTTAAACTTTTGTGGCTTGTCTCGTAACATCCACCGGCAAAGTCAAGAGAAGAAAAGGAGTATCAAAACTCTCGTGTGTCCTTCAGAAATCATGCAAAAGCGTATGTTACACAAAGTGCGATAATCCTGCAGGGGCACTCTCATCTTGGATGCTGGAGAGCCTTGGTTTAGCATTGGAGTGCACTACAATTTGTGCTGGCATAAGGGACTTAAGGGTAACGTATAAATATGCAAAAGCGTATTTGAAATAAATTTGAGAAACAGGAGGCCTTCATCTCACTTGCACAAGATTCCCTTTGCACAGCTTGGAATTACAGGGAGCCTTTAATGTGAGGCTGAATTGTTTCTGCTCACTCTGAAATGTCTCTGTTTTGCCACCGTGGTGCGTATGGGCTGTTCTGTGAGTGGGAATTGAACTCGGAGTGGACATTACAACCAAATGAGTGAAGAACCAATGTAAAGTTCAGTCCTTAAAAGCAGGTGTTAATAGGTTGCTAGATAAAAGATGGATGGTACTTCTGATAAATGGCAGTTTGGGTGCTCCACAGTTGTTTAGAGGTACATAATATTTACTGTTTTCATTTGTCTGTACACTGATGGGTAGAATGAGGGCATTGCTCTGCTAAATTTTCACTCTGGTAAGCTTGCAGTAAATACGCTGGAATGAAAATGGATGATTTCTGATTCTTTAGGCTGTAGAAATCTGATTTTCTTGAGCTAGTATTTCTCTGAATTGCATTTACTAATTAATTATATGCAGATTAAAAAGTGGTTAATCTTCTGGCCCATGTTAAAATCAGTAGCCCAGATATGGTGGTAGTAGGTGTATGAATAGCTGTGCTTTAGAGTGGGATTTTGTATCTCTTTTTTTTAAGACTGAACTCCACACCCTACCT